GATTTAATTAAAAATAAAGGTACAGTGCCATTTATTCTTCATTACACAATATACATATGTATACATGTATTGTGCATCTATCCTTCTGTTTGTGTGTGGGAAAATGTATATTTCATGTGATAAAAAAAAAATTTTTCATACTTTGGGTGTCTTGAACGGATTAATTTGATTCCCATTATTTCTTATGGGGAAAATTAATTCAGCTAACGATAATTTCGTCTAACGATGAGCTCTCTGGAACGGATTAATATCATTGGTCGAGGGTCCACTGCATATTTCCAAGTTCGACATTTACTGTGTTGTTAAGTGCAGCCGGATCTGCATTTGGGATGGCAAAAGTTGTGTCACCTGCAATCAGAATTGGGTTAAGCTCCTGTGAAGCATTAACAAGGTCACTGGTATAAATGAGGAATAGCAGAGGGCCCAGAACACTGCCCTGTATCTATACATCCTTACTGTATCCATAGAAAGCATTGCTTTACAACAGAGGCGAGATGTTCAAGTGCATCACCAGGAAGAAGGTCTCAGTTGATATAGCAAATTAGTACCTTCAATATTATTATATTCATGGGAAAGGGGCTAGCCATAAACTGTATATTGGTTATAGAGTGCCACATGATAGAGGTGAAAGGAATGGGAAAAAGGTGGACGTATTGAGGAGCTGACATATACGCAAAGAAAAAGATGGGGAGAGGGTGGTCACAGGTGATGTAACAAATTGGAGTAGGTAAAAAAATAAAAAGCATGTAACAAATTTGAGTAGTTAAAAAAAAAAAGTCAAAGTTTCTTTTCATTAAGGGCACAGCCATCAGAGAGGACTGTTTTAAAAAGTCAGTGGTGGTGTCAGCATTGGCAGCTTCAGCCATGGTGGTGGTATTAGTGATGGCAAGGTCAGTGGCAGCAACGACATGGATGGGGGTGACATCGGTGGCTGCAGTATCAGTGGCAATGGCATTATCAGTGGTGACAGAGGAATCACTAATGAAGACAGCATCTGCATCAGTAGTGAAAGCATTGGCATTAGTGTCAGTGGCAGTGGCATTAGCAATACCAGTAGTAGTAGTGGAGTCAGTAAATTTTCACAAATAGGAAATACACTCACTACTTAAGCTTAAAGAAGAGGAAGGGGTGGGTATATTTCAGTTCATTCTGAGGAAAGAACAAAAAGCTCCAGTTCATTGAGGGGCCTGCATAAATTTAGAAACCTTAGAGTATAGGAAAGCTGGGACTGTCAGTAAGAAGGGTGTACAAAATTAGCATATCAGAATTAAGTGTGCAAAATGAAACTGATGTTCTCTCTCACTAATGGAACAACCAGTCGAGAGATGCTGGATAGTTAAGATAATCTGACAATCATCACAGAGTAGTGACAGGAATAGCTCCAGTATTTATTTATTTATTTATTTATTTATTAACAATTTGAGCACACATACAGAGGTACAAAAAATACAGATAAGAGCAGCATGCCAAAGCCACTTATACTATGCATAGCATTACGGGCTGGCTTAAAATTAACTTAAGATTAACTAAGCAATGATGAAATCAGTGATAAAACATTAATGTAAACAGATTACTATAAAGCACAGGTGAGTATTACAAAGACAGGTCATATGGTTGCATGCATTGTTGTACATTCAGTCGTATGAAGTATTCTGTTAGGTAGTGTATTTAAAAAATAATAAAGTTAGATTCGGTTTTAGGTTTAACATTTATGTGATATAATTGTGAGAAACATTTAAGATATACAATTTATAAGGTTCAGTTATTCAGTATTTATTTGGTTTTGGGTGAGTAAGTGATCTTTGAGAAGAGACTTGAATTTATAAACAGGTAGTGTTTCTTTTATATTTACAGGTAATGAATTCCAGATTTTAGGGCCTTTTATGTGCATTGAGTTTTTGCAGTGTGAGATGGACACGAGGAACATCAAAGAGTGATCTGTGCCTTGTGTTATGGTCATGTGTTCTGTTGAGGTTGGCAAGGAGATGTTTGAGGGGAGGGTTAATATCAGAGTTAAGTGTTCTATGTATGTAATAGGTGCAGTAATAAGTATGGATGTTTTGTATGGTGAGTAGGTTTAGTGTATTGAATATTGGTGGAGTGTGCTGCCTGTAGTGAGAATTTGTTATCATTCTAACTGCAGCCTTTTGTTGGGTAATTAGTGGTCTGAGATGGTTAATTGTTGTTGAGCCCCATGCACAAATTCCATAGGTGAGATAGGGGTAAATAAGAGAGTGATATAGGGCCAGGAGGGCTGACTGTGGAACATAGTACCGTATCTTCGATAGTATGCCTACAGTCTTGGAAATTTTCTTAGAAATTTGTTGTATATGTGTATGAAATTTGAGTCTATTATCAAGGTGGATTCCTAAGAATTTTCCCTCTGTTAGCTTTGTGATAGGTGATCCGTTTATCATTATGTTAAAGGGACATCTGTAGCTCTGTTACCAAACTGAATGAAGTAGGTTTTGTCAATGTTTAGTGTAAGTTTGTTAGTCCTCATCCAGGTAGATATTTTCTGTAATTCGGTATTTACAGTATTGGCTAGCGTGACTGGGCTCGGGTGAGAGAAGACGTATGTAGTGTCATCTGCAAATAGTGTGGGTTTGAGTAATTGCGAAGCATTTGGAAGGTCATTTATGTATAGGAGAAAGAGAAGAGGGCCAAGGACACTTCCCTGTGGGACACCAACTGTAATTGGTTGCGCAGAAGAGTTTGCCCCATTTGCGTACACATATTGGCTTCTGTTGCTGAGGTATGACTTGAGGTAGTTGAGGGAGTGCCCTCTTATACCATAGTGTGACAATTTTACGTGGAGCAAGTCATGGTCAACTGTATCAAAAGCTTTATGTAAGTCAATGAAGATTCCCAGTGGGACTTCTTTTTTCTCTATTGCAGTGTATATATGTTCTAGTATGTGTATAATAGCATCATTAGTATTTTTATTAGGCCTGAATCCAAATTTGCAGGGGTTGAGTATGTTTTGGGAGATAAGGTAGGAGTAGATTCGTTTATGAATTAATTTTTCGAAGATTTTTGAGAGAGGGTGTAAGTTGGATATTGGCCTATAGTTATTCAACTCTGTTTGGTTTCCTCCTTTGTGGATCGGGGTGACCCTTGCTATTTTGAGTACTGTAGGGAAGGTGGAGGATTCAATGGATTTGTTAAAGAGTGTTGCAATGATTGGTGATAGCACTTGTGACACTTTTTTGTATGTAAAGGGTGGTAAGGTATTTAAATCTCCTGCCTTGTTTTTTAGTGCGTTGATAATAAGGGAGACTTCGTATGGGTTAGTCGGAGCTAGGAACAGTGTGTTCGGAGTTGCCGGTGAGGTAATCATTTGGTGGGGTATCTGAGCTTGGGATTTTATTGGCAAGGTTTTGTCCTATAGTGGAGAAGAAATCATTGAGTCTGTTTGCTGTTTCTGTTGGTGGGAGTTGGGGTTCATCTGATTTTGCTAATTTTATTTCGCTATTTTGTGATATCTTTTTTGTTCCCAGAATTTCTGATAGGGTTTTCCAGGTCTTCTTTATATCACCTCGTAAGTTGGATAATCTGTTCTCATAATACAATTTTTTTGCCCTTCTTATCAGGCTGGTTAGGATTGACAAGTAACGTTTTGTTTGGTCTCTGGTTATGTGACCCATTCTGTACTGTTTTTCATATTGGTGTTTTGTATTTATGGATTTGAGAATGCTGGGTGTTAGCCAGGGACTGTTCAGTCTCTTAGCTGTCATCTGTTTAGTTTTTTTAGGGCAGTGCTTGTTATAGAGGTATTGGGTCTTTAGAAAATTATTAATACATTCGTCAATATCTGTATAGATTTCTAGCTCAGTGTGCCAATCAATGTTTGCTACTGCTGTTGTGAAGTTATTAATGGCTGCCTCATTGTGAAGTCTGAAGGTGACTTTAGTAGTGTCTTGGGGTAGTTTACCAAGAGTTGTTATGAGGAAAGTAGGGTAGTGGTCTGTGGTATTATCTGTAATTATGCCTGATTTTAAAGGGGATATGGTGTTGGTCCAGATGTGGTCAAGTAGGGAAACACTAGTCTCTGTAACTCTTGTAGGTTTTGTTACTGTTGGTAGTAACATACAGTTACTCATTGTGTTTGTGAATTCAGTAACGTGTGGGTCCTGGTCTTGCAGGAGATTTATATTGAAGTCACCTGAGAGTAGTAAGTGATCTTTGTTCATGCGTGCATCAGTATATCTACATAAATAAACATACAAGTAAAAACATAAACAATGCATATTTTGAATATATATTAATGCATCAGCATTCAACTTTGTAATCAGTTTTGTTATTAGTGTATCATAAACCTGTCAAGAGGTCAGCGCTATGACTTGGAAATGCTTTGGGCCAATCTGACAGCAGACCAGTTACAGTCAGTTGAAAATATGAAATGTATATATAATTCCAATAACAGCTAAGGTTTAATATTAATTTGACCAGACATCACCGCACTATGTATACCTACATCAATGACAGAAACACTTTGGCCACTTGTAGTACAACTTTTAGCACAACATTGTAGTACCCACAGTTAGTGGCCAGGCTTCAAACACCTTTTATTGTACAGCAACAAAGGAATGGAAAAGACTGTCTGGACATGTCAAAGCCAGTCATACCATGAACCAGTTCAAGAAGAGAGCCAAAAGGTGTCTAATGAATGTAGCGACAGAAAGGGAGGAAATTTTTTTTTTTTTGCTAACATACATGTAAATATAAATAACCCACTCTACCATATTCCTAGTATATCTCCTTTATAGTATAATAATAAGACAAAAAAAAAACAATGGAAATAAGTCACTGACATTTTTGGGTTATCCTAGGTTCTCTACACACATACTGCTATGTGATAATCTATGTAACTGTATGTGTTTATACCTGAATAAACTTACTTGTTTAGCGCCCGTGACCAGGTATACCGTAAAGCAAATTGTAAAATTAGCCGCAACATGCATAGTATCACACGTGTGATTCACTTGACTATGGCTTACCTGACTCGCACAGTGTGTGCTTATGTCCTCTCTTTAACATTGTGGTGGTGTTATTTTTCCACAAAACTGTTACATTAATCACTATATTTACGTTACAGCCACTTTTCCCAGTGCTACGCCGTGTTTATATTATCAGAACCAACAGCCATTAGAACGCTTAGTACACGATAACGTCAGCATTTATGAACATAGTTCTCCTGCAACAACTGGATGTGACATTGATTAAAACAATAATAAAATAAATAGAGCTCAATTCAAACACTTAATTTTCATATAACAAAGGAAATTTACAATAAAGGTTAAACTGTTATATATATATAGCATTTATTTTTTAAACTAAATTTTTCAAAAGTATTGAACAAAGTTTTCATGGGTATTATTTGTTGTTGTTGTTCTTGTTGGGTGGTAGGGGATTTTTACGGTCTTAGGGCCGAATGCATTCTTCGTATTTCTGCTGAAAATACAGTTTTTCGACTCCATATGAGCCCATATAGCCCAATTCTTCTGATGTGTTGTATATAGCGCCGGTCCTGATCACCGCTCACCGCATAGCAAGTGCTCGAGATCAATCGTTTTATTATAATTATAGGACTAAGTAAGTAAGTCACATTTATTTATTTATTTATTTATTTATTTATTTATTTATTTAGTAATTTTAGCATACATACAGAGGTACACAAAAATACAGGTAAGAGCAGCATGCCAAAGCCACTTATATGCATAGCATTACGGGCTGGCTTAAAATTAACTTAAGATTAACTAAGCAATGATGAAATCAGTGATAAGACATTATTGTAAACAGATAACTATAAAGCACAAATGAGTATTACAAAGACAGGTCATATGGTTGCATGCATTGCTGTACATTCAATAGAATGGAGTATTCTGTTAGGTAGTGTATTTAAAAAATAACAAAGTTAGATTGGGTCTTAGGTTTAACATTTATGTGATATAATTATGAGAAACATTTAAGATATACAATTTATAAGGTTCAGTTATTCAGTATTTATTTGGTTTTGGGTGAGTAAGTGATCCTTGAGAAGAGACGAATTTATAAACAGGTAGTGTTTCTTATATATTTACAGGTAATGAATTCCAGATTTTAGGGCCTTTTATGTGCATTGAGTTATTGCATAGCATGAGATGGACACGAGGAACATTAAAGAGTGATCTGTGCCTTGTGTTATGGTCATGTGTTCTGTTGAGGTTGGCAAGGAGATGTTTGAGGGGAGGGTTAATATCAGAGTTAAGTGTTCTATGTATGTAATAGGTGCAATAATAATTATGGATGTTTTGTATGGTGAGTAGGTTGAGTGTTTTGAATATTGGTGGAGTGTGCTGCCTGTAGTGAGAATTTGTTATTCTAACTGCAGCCTTTTGTTGGGTAATTAGTGGTCTGAGATGGTTTAATTGTTGTTGAGCCCCATGCACAAATTCCATAGGTGAGATAGGGGTAAATAAGAGAGTGATATTAGGGCCAGGAGGGCTGACTGTGGAACATAGTACCGTATCTTCGATAGTATGCCTACAGTCTTGGAAATTTTCTTAGAAATTTGTTGTATATGTGTATGAAATTTGAGTCTATTATCAAGGTGGATTCCTAAGAATTTTCCCTCTGTTAGCTTTGTGATAGGTGATCCGTTTATCGTTATGTTAAGAGGGACATCTGTAGCTCTGTTACCAAACTGAATGAAGTAGGTTTTGTCAATGTTTAGTGTAAGTTTGTTATCCTCATCCAGGTAGATATTTTCTGTAATTCGGTATTTACAGTATTGGCTAGCGTGACTGGGCTCGGGTGAGAGAAGACGTATGTAGTGTCATCTGCAAAAAGTGTGGGTTTGAGTAATTGCGAAGCATTTGGTAGGCCATTTATGTATAGGAGAAAGAGAAGAGGGCCAAGGACACTTCCCTGTGGGACACCAACTGTAATTGGTTGTGCGGAAGAGCTTGCCCCATTTGCGTACACATATTGGCTTCTGTTGCTGAGGTATGACTTGAGGTAGTTGAGGGAGTGCCCTCTTATACCATAGTGTGACAATTTTACGTGGAGCAAGTCATGGTCAACTATCAAAAGTTTTACGTAAGTCAATGAAGATCCCCAGTGGGACTTCTTTTTTCTCTATTGCAGTGTATATATGTTCTAGCATGTGTATAATAGCATCATTAGTATTTTTATTAGGCCTGAATCCAAATTGGCAGGGGTTGTTTGACTTTATTGGGTTTTCACAAGTTAAAACTATACAGTGTACTATTTTGTGTACTACCTAATTGTACTCGCCTAATTGTGGTTGCAGGGATCGAGTTTCAGCTTCTGGCCCCACCTCTGTTGGCCGCTATTGGTTTCACTATTCTGGATGCGTGGGCAATATCATACCCATTCTTAAAGCAATAATAATATAATATCTTTATGTACTACAAGTACAAGTACGAGGTATACAGGCCTAGCTGACATCAACGACATACTAGTACGTAGAAAGCCGCTTGTTATACAGAGCATTTCGGGCAAATTAGGTCAGTTTTGTCCCAGGATGCGACCCACACCAGTCAACTAACACCCAGGTACACATTTTACTGATGGGTGAACATAGACAACCAGTGTAAGGAAACACGTCCGATGTTTCCACCCCTTCGCCGGGAATTGAACCCGTACCCTTACCGTGTGAGAGAGCTTTTGCCACCAGGCCACGGGGTACCGTGGATTCTGCTTCTACCTCTTCACTGTCTAGGTCTTATGAAGTATTTTCTAACATCCGTTACTCATCTGTGCTTTTAACTTCCAGTTGTGATCTCGTGTACCTGAGACCAGCTTGTCAAACAGACTCCCTGTTACAACTCAGGTACTCAAAGGTCTGTTATCCTGGGTGTAAGGGAGCAAAATAAATGCAGAAAAACTTTGAATTATATTATCCTTCACCAAGTATAGACAGAAGTATGTACACTATATACACTATGTACAGCAATAGGTATTAGTGCACGCCACGGTAATCAAGACAATTGAAGCCAGTAGAATGCAGACCACGGTGCTTCAACCAGCTCTCGAATGGAGATGCCAAGGGTGAGAATGTGAGTGGTATCCACATCACCTTCACAATTGCCAGATCCACCTTCTCATTGGCTGAACCTAGATACTGATCATACGATGGGGCCCCGTTAGATCGTTAGATCCTTAGTATCTAGTTTGCTGGTTGGGGAGGCAGCCTATGTTCAATTGCCTCCCAGCATACATAAAGGGGATTACCAATAGACCCCTGGCTGTCTTCAAGAAGGCACTGGACAGGCACCTAAAGTCAGTACCTGACCAAATGGGCTGTGGTTCGTACGTCAGCTTGCGTGCGGCCAGCAGTAACAGCCTAGTTGATCAGACCCTGATCCACCATGAGGCCTGGTCTCAGACCGGGCCACAGGGGCGTTGACCCCTGAACCCCTCTCCAGGTAAACTCCAGGTATGTGAGTGTGTTAACATGCTCTGAATAAAGATTACATACTCTTTACACCCCCACCCCAAGAGGGCTTAGGACTAGGCTTCCACCTCCATGGGTAAAAGTGCCGCCATGGCATAGTACAATAATGGGACCGCCTTCTCAACTGTCCAACTCTTAGAGGTCAACTTTTATCACGACATAAAGACAGCAGACAGTAGGTCCAAGATACCTGCAGACGGTAGCAGAATATCCCCTCACTAAAAAAAAACCCACCAAACAATTTAAACAGTATATACAAAAGGGGGAAAAAAGAGCTGGTTTTTACCCATAGTCCCTAACACATCCTAACCTAATACTTTTGAATGTTACACTTTTGATAACGAATCAGCCAACTTATTATCTTGGCCAGCAATGTGCTTAATACATATGTTATATGGTTGCAGCCTAAGACTCCAATGCATGAGTCTTGTATTATGGTTTTTCATATGATTAAGATACACCAGAGGGTTGTGGTCACTGTAGACTGTGACCACCTGAGATGTCTGGCCCATGTATATTTCAAAGTGCTCCAGTGCCAGTATCAGAGCAAGAGCTTCTTTTTCAATTGTAGAGTAGGCCCTCTGGTGTGATTGGTACTTGGCCGAGAAGTAGGCCAAAGGCTGCAACCCATCGTCCCTAGCTTTACAGGAGTACTGCTCCCACCCTGATTCACAAGCATCCACTTGTAATGTAAATGATTTTGGGAAATCAGGAGACAGAAGAATGGGTGCAGTACAGAACAGTCTTTTTGCTTTCGTGGATGAGTTTTGACATTCTGGGGTCCAAAAGAAGGGGGATTTGTGACTGGTAAGGGAGGTTAAAGGGGCTATAATATCTGCAAGGTTTTTACAGAATCTTCTATAAAATCCTACCATGCCTAGGAAATGTTGGAAAGATTTCCTATCTTGAGGTATTGGATAATTTTTAATGGCAAGAATTTTAGCAAATTTAGGGGCTACTTTGTCACTACCTACTTCATGCCCAAAAAAATTAACAGTAGCCTGACGAAAGGAAGACTTAGATAAGTTAACAGTTAAGTGGAAACTCTGGAAGGTCTCAAAGAGAGCCTTAAGCCTAAACATGTGTTGATCCCAAGTATCCGACACAATAAGAATGTCGTCCAGGCAAGCTGCCGTGCCTTCAAGTCCTTTAATAGCCTGATGTATCAGTTTCTGGAATGAAGCGGGCGAGTTTTTCATTCTGAAGGGGGTAACTGTATATTGATAATGACCTCCAGGAATTATGAAGGCAGAGATTTCCTTCACCTTATCGGTCAAAGGTACCTGATAGTAACCCTTTAGGAGATCTAACTTGGACACAAAAGTAGCCTTACCCACAAAGTCGATTACGTCATCTAGACGTGACAGAGGATAAGCATCTGCAATTGTGACCTCATTCACCTTATGGTAGTCTGTACACATTCGAAAACCTCCATCAGCTTTCTTAACAAGGATGCACGGTGAAGCCCATGGACTAGACTCCTCCTCCACTAACTCACGCCTTAACAGAAATTCTACCTCCTGCTGAAGTAGCCTCTGTTTTTCAGGATTAGCTCTGTAGAGGAGGAGTTTAATAGGTTTAGAGTTTCCAACATCTACGTCATGATATCCTAATGTACATTTTTTTGGAACATCTGAAAAGATATCAGGGTAAGATTGTAGGAGCGCAGTTAAACCTGTTACTTGATTCTTATCCAGCCCCACCATTAAAGGGCTAGGATCCTTGAGGAGGACAGAATAGGGAAGCTTTAC